AAAAACCCCCCCCCCCCCCCCCCACGGATCCTCACGGCTCGAAAATTAATGTTTTGGGGGATGCACGACGCAGGCTAGTACGGGTGGGGCATGGAGGGAGGGAAACGGATCAAACAATGGCAAGCAAGGGCCCTTAGCTATTAAACACTATCTCCTGGATAAATGGATAATGCAATTAGTTTCCTTAATTCTTATTCGCCTGATAGTGATTTATCTGGTGGATATCGCTTAAACAACTGACCAAATGAGGCAACACATCTCTCTCAGTAGTGAGTGGGCTTGATAAGGCTGTTTCACCGGCTGTTCGAATTCATCTCCATTCAGTAGCTAGTCAATTAATTTGCTTGCTGAAACAGTATACATACACTCGTTTTAAATTACATTGTACTGTTCAGTTTTTACTCAAATTTGTGATGCCTCCTGCGAAACTGTATTGTGTTTAAATTTGGAGTAAAGCCCTTGAAATTCTAGAAATGCCCCGAACAAGGAAAGGCTCCTGCCGGAACAATGAAACATATGATCAGCCGTTCTGACGAAACCGGAAGTAATGATTGCATAGAAAACGGATAAAATGAAAATTAAATTGTACAAGTACAAACTTTCAATAATTTAAAAGCTTGTGCCTGTACAATTTCTGAAAAAGGAAATGATGTAATATTTTTTTGTTTTAGTGTGCAATGTTTCCAGAAGGTTGCTTCATGCAGCTGAATAAAGAAGGAAGAATTTGATAAAAGCCCTTCAGTGTGATAAGCATCTAATTTCTCCCCAAAATATCACTGCTGAATCAAATCAAAGGATAAAGAAAAGGATCGTCAAATTTAAAATACTGTCATTTTTAAAAAAACTGGTTCCCATTTGCCAGGAGCTTAGGCTCCTGCACATATGTACAATAACAAAAATAATGTAAAGTAACGAAAAACAATACAGAGAATATCCTATAGGGTTTCAAATAAGGGGTTCTATACCCCTTAACCCTAATTTGGGATTCTAGTTTTAAACTTAAGAGTAAACAACGGGTATAAGTAAAGGGAGTCTTCATCACCCCTCTCCTTGATGAAATATCAAGCAAATTGATCTTGTGTGATCATGTCCATAATTCTCATGACCACTCTGTTCTTCAACGCATTACTATTACAAGGAGAAATTTGATGCTGATCACTATTAGGGCTTAAAAGGTTAAAGCTTACTTGTACAGTGGCAGTCAACAAGCACAAATTCTGCCACGTGAGTAACTCGAGTTAGATTCATTTGTAACATACACGAATAGCCACTGTGTTTTCCCACTGTGACTTTTTTTGAGTAAATGCGACAGCTATGTGCATTTATTTCAAAATGAATCCACCTTAAATTTTCCTCTAGTCTTGCCTTCTTGAAATACAGGCACCAGGGGGCACCTCAGGCTAAACTGATGAAATGAACCCCTCTATCAAAACACATTCTTTGCTTCAATAACTGTAAAATGCATGACACAAGACGTTGAAGAAACATACTCAGTTTTAAGCCGTTGCAAGATATGTGGATCACGTGTGCAACGAGTTATGAGGGACACTGAAAATTGTTGGCCAATCACATTTTTAAGGTATTATGTATGATGAACAAGTATCCAATCCAGCTAGACCGCCTAGAAAAAAACAACTTCCTGGTCTCTCCAACATTATCACAACAGGAAACGATAAAAGACAGGCCTGACAAAGTACAAGCCTATCATTAACTTTTAACTTTGCCCAGTCCAAGTTGTTTCCCAAAACTTTTTGTTGACAGGGGTCAGGCATTAGCAATTATTATTTTAAAATTACATAATTATCAGGAAAACGAAGCTGGGGATACCTGGTTTCATGCTCAAATTTGAATTTTTGTGTTTTCTTAAATCTTAACTAGAATTATTTTTAGACTGAATTTGCAACAAGCGGAAATGGGAGAAATAGAGCACTCGACATCACATAAAACACCAGTTTCAATGCAACAACTGAATGTTTTTATTTAACCATAAAACATTAACTTGGTCTTGTACAAAATATGAAAATGCTATGTCTGTTAAATTTCATTTGACTATAATTTTTGCTCCTGGTGAAGCTTCCAAATACTATTTCAAAATTGTACAAATTTACAAATTAAATTATTAGCCAAGGTTTGGGCAAAAATATAAGCTTAAGCAAAATTCTCCATTTACAAGGGCAATAACATTTCGGAAGTAAATTATGTACATAGAAAAACTGTATGCCTATGTACAGGGAATCTTAAAACATTTTATATTTAACTTTAAAACATTCGTGTGCATGGATATAGACATTTCCACTCCATAGTCGGTCATTTAAGTTAGAAAGAGTCGATAGAAATTTTCATATTGTGGCTAGATGTTTAAAATACTTCGGTAGTTCTTTTGGAATAGTCCTTGCTAACCCAATGGTACCTTTGAAAGTTCTCCTTTTGGCTTGAATTCTTCGGAAAAAGCGACTGCTTGAAATTTGACTGCGAAGAACACTGACGATAGCCAAAGTTGAATTGCTGAAGCGGCCGTTGTGGCTTTGTAAAACTTTGTTGTTGTTGTTGTGTATTTTGTTCCCCGTAAAGCGGACATATCGAGCCTTTTCCAATTCTACACGACACGTCGCCGGGATCTACCCATAAAGCGAGCCCTCCTGGGAAGACATCTAACAAAACTGTCGGGGAAATCCCGCTCGCTTCTGTTGCTGTTAGAAGAACGGGGTCGATAGCGGTTGTGTCGATGTTGAGGCATCTAAATGCGTTTCCTTTCAAAGGCTTGTTCGGATGCCAATGGTTCTGAAATTTCGTGATCATTAATTGTTCTAGAATTGCCTTGAATTTATTTGCTTGTTCTTCATTCACTTTAGAGTTTCTTAAAAGAACCTCGGTAAGGAACGTGATAGCGGAGCGAACTTCGACTTTCATGTTTGTTGTCGCGTTGTGCTGGCGTTCTAAGGCTTTCAAATGTCAGCTTCGAGAAAAAATAATTAGAGCTTCCGTTCTAGCTTTGTTGTAATCAACTGATTATGTCCCTTTAACGTCTCTTCTGGCCAAAGCGGGAGAGTACCACTTTCACTTTCTCAGGCGTTATGAGTTTCTCAATCCTTCGACTCACTTTTCACAGCCTATTTATTCGAACCTTGCCTCGAATTTTCGCGTAACAAACACTTCAGCAGGGGAAATTTACAAGCCAAAAATAGTAACTGCGTCAAAGCCGCACCAATCAGGTGCCAGCTGGAACAATGAGCGCTCTTCTGTTGCCCAGGTAACAAGGGCGGGTATCTGACGCAAAGCACGTGTTTCGAGTACGTAATTGCTATCTATTGTCCTCCTGATGTTGGCAATAATATTGCAGTAATGCCGCTTCATAATTCGCCTAGAAAGCAGAGGTTTAACGAGAATAGAACCTTTCTGTTCCGTTCGCTCTTCATTTCAAACATTTCCTACTTATTTTAGAAGATTACGGGGCAGTGAATATAAAGTAAACTCGAGGAAATATCAAGAGAAAAACCGCAATTGAGAGACGTGACAACAATCAGCTGTTATTAGACGGTTTCGTTGCGCGCACTTTGGCGATGTTACGTCAAAGAGGTCTTGCGTTTGTATTAAATTCCACTCCTAATACTGCAAAGTTGTTGATAACATGAAGTTCGATAACGATATGTATACGCAATTTAAATGATCTGAAATAACTTCATGGATATTGGAAGAAACTGTTTGAAGGTTTGATGTTTTTTCGACACCTGTGCGTGAGAATAATGTATTTCCTCATTTCCGGTTTCCGTCACGAACACGAGAGTTGGAGTAATTTGTCTACATGTCGATAGCCTCAATACTGTATGGATGGTTTGAGCTCTTAGAGTAGCTAGTTGTACGTAAACGGGATTAAAATAATTTAATTCATGATCATAGGCTGCAAGCACACGCGCGCTGCGCCCATTGCTTTCAAGCGCCCGCGCGCTACGCAAGCTATTGGCCAGCCGAATCTTACAGAGGCCAGTGGAAGAAAAATCAAGAAAACTACTAGAACAGAACACTTTGGAAAGGGAAGCAAAAAATTGTTTGCACGGATACGTCAGCCTACGATGCCGGACTTGTCACTCAAATCCTCTAAGAATAACAACAATAACAACAACTTTATTGACTTTGTCTTCGACATGAAGATTTCAGTACCAAAAAACAATCAATATAACAACAAAAGAAACAAAGTAAAATAAAAGTTAAGTAATAAAGAAAGGAACAACAACTATATATTGAATATAAATTACTTGGTTATGTACGGCTTCTACGCTGGTCGTATGGTAAGAAAGTTAAATTAGAGTTCAGATTTATGACAATTTAGAATATTTTCAATATAAGAGGCACTAAGATTTATGATGTTTTCATCGCACATAGACTAGACATGATATATAGAAATAGTAGTAACTGAGGACTGTGTCATTTGCCAAAATACAATGTTTTTCTTGCCTTTTAGTATCCCTTTTAACTTCCAACAAAATTGCCTGCACCGGCGGTTCGGCGGTTTCAGTGGAAAAGTATTGGAAAATCAGTTACCCTATATTCTGACTAGATCTGCCAGGATCGCTTGCTCTTTGATGATAACTGAACTGGCCCATGCCTAGGAACAGATCGAGATAGATACTATGGAATGCCGTTGGTATCAAAAATACCAAATTACAAATTACGCAGTTGTAAAAATACCGGTTTTTTTGCAAAAATATATTTGTGTAAAAAGATGCTTTTATGTAAAAATCCTGCTTTTTTACAGGTATATAGCTGTAAAAAAAACCTGCCTCTTTACAAAAACATATTTTTGTAAAAAGGTTGCATTTTTATGTAACTGAATCCTGCTTTTTTACAACTTAATAACGGTAAAAAATCTGCTTTTTAACAGAAATATAAAAGCTGCTCTTTTATGTAAAAAAGCAGATACAGACAGGTCGCATTTTCACGAGTCGATTGACTATAATGGGGTCGCATTTTCAATAGAATTACTATAATGGGGTCACACATTAATTTTCGGATTTTTGGGGGTAAGACCGTTCTTCATATTTATGGTTAGCAAACGTTCCAGAATGTTTGTTCTGTAGATAAAAAGTAAAGAGTTCTTCATTCTTGAATCTAAAATATGGGCCAATTCATGAAAATAGAAAGTGACTAAGATGGGATCGCGGAAATTACATATTTGCCCAAAAGTGACTAAGATGGAGTCTATATTTGGCCACAGAATAGACTATAATGGGGTAGGGGCCCTGAGAGGCCAGCGGCACATACCCAGCAAAAATTAACCCGAGCACCCCCCCGGTTATTTGTTTACTCCTAATGACTGTTTACAAAGGAAGATATGAGTTTTCTCAGTAATATCTTTTCCCCAGGTGTTGAGATCTTCTTTGTCATAGATTCCCCATACCTCTGAACCGTAGAGGAGACGGGGTATAAAAAGTGAAGTAAAAAGTTCATTAACAATTATTCCTCGAGCCCGAATGGGCTCTGAGTCAATAGCCCATGAGGCCGAAGGCCAAATGGGCTATTGACTCAGAGGCCATGAGGGCGAGAGGAATAATTGTTTTAGTAAAATTCAACTAGTTGGTCAAAAATATTGAGACAAAATAACTTTAGCTAACAAAACGCGATTCAGCCGCCAATGTTTTTGTTTTCAAAGCCCGCGCTTTTCGCTACTAGTGGGCTATAACATATAGCCTAGTGGTAGCTCAACCAATCAGAACGCAGCATTGATAATAGACCACTAGTTGGATTTTACTAATTTGTGATAATGATCAAATTGTATTTTTGAGAAGGTAACGGCGAGAAGCAAAGGTTCTCCCATAGTGGCCATTACAGGGATCGGGAGGCTCCGCCAAAAAATAGTACTTTTTCAGGCTTCAGGTGTATGAAAGGGTGGGGATTTCACTAGTTGAAGTATTTGAAAGGGTAGGGAAATCTGTCATTTCGGTCTGTAAAAAGACCCAAACAGATGCACTCTAAAAGGGATGCAAAGTTTTAAACTAGGCAGGAGCGTAGCGTCCGTATACGGACATACGTCCATGCGTACAGCTGAAATATAATGTGGAAAAAAATGTGCGCTCAACTGTGATGAGGAATATATGTATGCAAAACGTAGCCGATGTCAGTAAAATTAGTCAGTGACTTTAGACGTCTCGCCGCCCTTTGCATGTAACCTCGTTGATGGCGTCACTGTTTTACCCTTTTTCTTAGCCTGTTCCAGGCTTCGAGATAGTGGTGAAAAAGAAATGCGAAAAACGCGCAGAGGCTGAGGAGAGCCACCGCCCCCTTTCCCAAGTCGCGCGCGTCTTATTTTCGCTTTGCTCGTTTTAATACGTCCGCACTATACTATCTGAGAGCCTGGCACAGGCTACCTTTTTCTATGAACACCATACCTTATCGAGAACAATATAGATGGGAAAAATCAACAACTACCTACTGCGTTTTCCTTTGTATTTGTTTACTGAAAATGTGCTGTGGAAAACGCTGGAAATGGCGTTTCAGAGACCTCCCCCCTAGTTTGGAGTACCTTCGGCGCTGTAACTTTCTTCCCGTGAGTACACCTTCAAAAGCTCACGCTACGTCTACGGCCATTTCTGAAAAGCAGGTATAGGAAAGGGGTATCTAAAAGCTAAGGGTAAGGGATTGGACGTTTGGGCGGAGACTCCCGGTATAGTAGAATGTTGAGTACCACCCTCCCCACCCTGGGGGATCAACTTTCATAAACAGGCCCTGAAACGAATCACAGATGCCTAAGGTAAGGAGAAATGGACAGCAAAAATTTTCTTACCTTACTCCGGATGCGGGGGTCCAGGGTTCAAGCCCCGCCCTTCGCGTTGTTTCCGTAGACAAGAAACTTTACTCCACTTTGTCTCTCTTCACCCAGCTGTATAAATGGGTTCCGGTGACATACTGCTGGGGGTAAACATGTGAACAACTATCATCCCATCCAGAAGGGGGTTAGCAATACTCCTAGGCATGCTTCATGCTATTAAGGGAAACCGGGATAAGCTTCGGCCGTTTGGGCCTTTGGCTCGTGTGCGCCTTTACCTTCACCATCTAATCACAATGAATAGTTCAAGGTGGACACAAATAATTATTAACAAACAAGATTTATTCAAAACATACAATCTAACAATATAAATTGGCTTGCAACTACGAGGTACTACGAGGTACTAGGTACTATGAGGTACCTCATTTTCTCTTGCTTTAACTTAAAGTTCAAACTTCAATCAGCAACTCGCCTAATAAATATATAAAAATCTATTACATTGCTTATCAGCAAAAATAACTATCAAGAAATAATTGTCCAAACTATGACCCTTTTTAAAGTCAAATAAACGATCACACTGACTTATTAAGTGGATTAACCAGAGGTTATTTTATCAAAATACTACCAACTATTAAGTTTAAAGCTTAAAGCTTACACCAATTTCCCTATAAAGCTACGATAATGGCTACAACTAAAAAAAAGTATAAAAGATCAATCACTTCTAACTTCAAACAAACAACAGTCTCGCTATGTTTGATTTCTTTCACGTTGGGGTATTGTGTCACATTTATGCTTTTATGTGAGAAATTTTAAAGCAGCAGCTCACACCCCTACAATGGACCCCCACACCAGTCATATTTTGTTGAAACACTTCTCGAAAACACAAGATAAACTAAGTGGTTCCGCTAATACATGTATAGCGTCCCTCTCACAGGTTTGCTTGGTCATAAACGTCTGCAAAATCAACATTGAGGGGGAAGAGGCAAAGAAATTGGCAAGCGTTTCAACAACATGACTGGGATTGCTGCTTGCAGGACATTAATTTTTAATCTGGAGCATTCCTATCAAATTAAAATGAAGTATCTACACAGCTAACTCTTTAAACTGGACACCAGAGCCATTAGGGTGGAGAGGTAGGGGAACCTAACAATGTTTTTCCACCCCCACAGCCAAATCCTTAACCCTTCGGAGTAAGCCATGTCCCTGTTGGTATTCAACCCCATACTATTTCATCTAGTCTTATGATGTTGTTGTAAGGCCGCGTTGCTTGTCAGAACTTTATCCTAACAGGACCTCTTCATAAAATACATCCTCCTGTCATTCATGTTACATGTTACATATACCCCTTTCATGTACCTACAGTTAACACAGATGCATCCCTTTCCAGCCCTTGAAATGACAAAGGAGATACAAAGGAAGTATAACATTTTTGGTCTAAACCTAAGCTACTTTTATTCTAATCACTTTTTTTAGTGTAACCAATTTTATAGACAGGTAAAAGCACAGGCCATCAGAGCATAAACCGCTCAATATCTCAAACAAAATTTGCCCTGGAATGCTAATTTTTTAGCAAGTAGGCCTTTTGGATGTTGTTCTTTCATAATTCCCTAAAAAATCCTAAATAAAAAATTAGATTTTTTTGAAATTATTTCACAAATCTAATTTTTTCTGACGTCACACTTGAGGACTACTTTATATACCTATAGCCTGAAAAAGGTCCCTGAGCAGGGAAAACCACCATAGGGTGTGGCCCCCTCTACCCAAAGAGAAAGGGCTGGAGAAGCTTGCAATCAGCTTGAACTGTCTGCTTTGTATAGACACAAAATTAAAAGTGGGCTGGCAGCAGTAGATGAAACCAGCAATGACCCCTGATAGGCGCATCTTTGCTGACGTAATTGTTTACATTTTTCCTCATTAGCATACGACTTAACTCAAAGAAGCCGTGGCCGTATATGCGAACTAAATTCAAAAGTTGAAAGAGCTGATTAACTTGAACAATCTGTGCAATTGCAGCTTATTAAAAGAAATATTGAAGGAAATATCAGCCACCTAAAACTGCAAAATTGCTGAGTGGCAAAAAAGTTAATGAGACAAACATTCTTTGTAAAATTTTGAGTTTTTAAAAGAGAATTTCTCCGAAACCATTTGGTATATCCGGATCAAATTTTCAGAGATAACTGAAATTGTTTTGCTCTTTCAATATTCAGAGGTTTTATTTTATTAGCTTCATCAGATAATGATGAGCATATGTTAATGAGGCAGAAAATGTAAACAAAGATTCGCCTAAAGGGGTGTCCACTTTTAGAGTTGAATGTCAGGCATTAACCCTTTAAGTCCCAATAGTGACCAACAGCAATTTTCTCCTAACAATGTCCATACATTGTCAAGAGATAAGGTTGTGAGAATATAAAAAATGATCATGAAAGAGAAAATACCTTGATGCTTTATTAAATTCTCTCAACTAATTCTTAAAGGAAATGTATGGAGATCAGTTTGGAGAATTTGTATGTGGATACTTGGGCTTAAAACAACAAACATAGGGAAATGAAAAATTTCTTTCAAAAAAGTAAAAAGCAAATTGCATTAAGACAATGCAAGTCAAATACAAAAAGAAAACATGATCACAGGTTGTCTCCCAACTTACCTTAATTACTGTCCAACAATAATCATTCATTAAGAGAAAATCGACAAACGTTATATTTTTGTTTTGATTTTCTCTATGAATTGACATTGGTTTTCACACACTACCATTACTCACTTGTGAGGGTGTTTGATAAAGAATTTAAGCACTTGGGAAGTTTTATTTTAAAAAAATTGCACGCAATTACCATTATTGACTCAATTCTCTATGAAACATCCTTCTCGCTGTTATATAGTTATTGGGTGTACAAGTTACTAGCATACTCCAGACTGAATAATTTTGCAAGCTTTCTTTCTAGCCTCCAATGTTGCTATGGTTACAGTTTGCGGTACCCAGCAGATGTGTTACGTCTATAACGCCTACCAATCAGATAGCCAATGGCGACGATAACAACAAGCCCAGCCAGTGTACATCCAACAGCAATTGCCACTGTGTGGCTTTCCTTGTGTGGCTTTGGTGTTGTATGGGGGGTGGTGGTGGGTGTTGGTGTTGGCGTTGAATCACAGTTATCCACTATGATGCACAAAACAGGACAAAATAGAGACAATAAGAGGTTTATTTACCTTGCACTAAAATGCCTGGACCAGGGTATAATTTTTCAAATAGACATCATGGGCAAAGGTGTTAGCTTGAATTTCATCCCATTACTTCAAGTGGTTATTACTTCCTCAGTAAAGAGAAAACGACTCAAAGCAATCAAATAAAAATAATTCAGGCTACAAAGGTGTGTCACTGGCATGGATTACCAGGTCTTTAAACAAGATAATCTTATTTACTGTATTTCCCCAAACGAGTACCCACATGCTTATTTAAAATTTCGGTGAAAAGAGGGGGCACTTAATGAAACAAGGGCGCTAATTCTTTTCTCAGAGGGGCACTTATTAAGTTTTCCTCCTTTTGGTAATCAAGCATACAGTAGTCTCAATTATACACTTTACACACAGAAGTATTGGTATAAATGAAGTTGAAGCTTAAAAACATGCATTCCTTGTATCCCATCTATTTAAGAGGGTTATGGGGCATCAAAGGGGGATGCTTATTCATTGGGGGTGCTAGTTTGATATTAGGCTGATTTAGCAACAAAACGAAAATGTTAGTTGACGAGACGGGTAAAAGTGCGTGGAAAGGACTGAATGCCACTTCCGGTACCCAATTTGTTGCTCAGTTATTTGTCAAACCAGTTGTTTGATTTGCACGCGCCATTGTCAAGTGACGTTCCTGTTCTGTTGCTAAATCAGCCTATTACGGCATAGTGGTGGTGGTGGGTGCTTATCAGAGCACGGAAGCTTACTAAAGGCACATTAACCATTTCAAAATGCAGAGACGTTTTCTAATAATATTTGGGCACGTCATGTCATCAGTCAACACTTCTTGCTAACATGAGAGGTGTATGCTTAATTTCAAGCACAAAACCTGATCGTAGTTTGCCTAGTCAACATCCTGCCCTTACCTTTTTTACTGAACTGTCCATTCTCAACTTCAAAGGGTTGGAACTTGACATCCATCAGTAAGACATTCACACTGGAATTGACAGCTGTCAGTTTAATGGCGTTCAACTTAGTTTTGCACAGGAATGCATGACCCAAAGGAGCTGAAACCTCATTCAGTGGCTCTTTTTGAGAATGAAATGTTTCTGCAAAGAAACCATACCCATAGTAAACTATGTGGAGGACATGGAAAAAAATATTTTTTTATTCCTGCTAAATAGGCCACTTTGAAAAAATACCATACTATCAAAGTGCCATTTGGGTAGTACCGTATCTATTCCCTCAAATAAACACCTTCCTCGATCAAACACCGCAGATGGAAGCAAAATCACCTAATCAGAAGAATACGGTGTTTACTCGAGGGGAATAAGGAAAACCTCTCTACAACTTGGTAATTTACACAATCCAGACATTTACGATTCTCTCTCAGTAGCAAAGTATTACTGTGAAACTCACAAATCCGTGAAAACCAGAAATATTTATGGAATGTTGTGTTGCGAGAAATAAGTGAATAAGGCACGTGATAACAAAACCACAAACAGCAACGGTAATTAGTTTGTGGTTTTGAGGTTTGTTCACATGTCCTGAACTTTATTGTGGTTGGCCAATACACAAAATATAATTCCTGAAATTTTTCAGGTGTTCACTGTTTTCTGAGTTTGACATTAAATTACATAATATTTACAAACGAATTACAATAACTGTTGTGATTTGGAAATAAACGCTGCCCTAAGTAAATGCTGCATTGGAAATGCTAAAAATTTAATAAATGCTGTGGTGTTTAATCAAATAAATACGGCACTTCACGTTAACCTTACTTTTGCACACAATTTGCACATGCAATACGTCAGTTTGTCAAAAAATTGCATACTTAGCATGTTTAGGTGAAAACACAGTTATGCTAATGTCTTATTGTTGGCTAAACTATAGTTAAGTACTGTTTTCTTTTTAATATGTTCAGGAGTTTGGCATGAGGGAAGACAAGTGGAATTGGGGGATTCTTTAATAACAGTTCTATGGTGGAAGCCTTCTATCTATAAATACCCTGAATTATAATGATTGTGTCAGCAAAAAGGGCCAGAAAATTTATGACACTTTACACTATTACTAAGGTACATGTATTTTTGGAAATCAGCCATTGCCCTTGCAGATCGTGCAAAGGGCAAAAGATAATGTGAACATCAGCTTTACATGCAGCTCTACCCAAACTGCAATTTGAGATTATAGTATTTTTTGTAGTGACCTTGATATTTTCCTTTGAGTTACAATAAGTTGATATGCAGTCATACCAGAGAGTCCAGGTCCTTTCATTGAAAACATCAAATTTGCAGCAGCCCAGCGTGGTGTGGATGTGACTTGCAAGTTTTTGCCCTTGACTATGACAAAGTGCATTGTGAAGTTAAAAGAAACCTCTTTTGACTGCCATGACAGGGTAATAAACGATTTGTCATCGGAAGGATAATTTGCACAGGCTCCAGTAGCTGTAGCATTCGCTGGCAAATACACAATCTGTAAAGCAATAAAAATTAAAACGCTTTTCATTTCTCATCACTTAATAATAAATGTACATTTAATAATATTTTGTTTTTTATGATACAAGTGAGAGCTGATGACTAAGGGAGCCATAACTGGCTTTCAAAAGCTAATATGAGGCATTCCACTGGGTTTTTTCTACAACCTTGACAGAAAAACGTTAGAGGCAAAAACAAAAAACAATGGTCAGGCACTGGACAATAGTCTGCCTAGACCGGGATGTAAAATGATATTTGGTTAGGTAAAAGAAAAGGTTTAAATTGCTATTATGTTCACTCTCATAAATGTCTGTATGACCCAACCTTGATTGCCCAGTGGTAATAGTAATACAGTGGAGCCTCAAATTAATGAAGGGCCAAGGGACTGGCAAATTTTGTTTGCTATAGGGAGGTTTCGTTATATAGAGGTTCTTTTCCATACATTTTACCATTACTGGGGTAAATAAAATCATTCATTATGACAACGACTTTGTTATATTTCGTTATATCAAGGTTCTGCTGTAATGAAGTTCCATTGTTAACCAGTGCAAATAAATACTTCCATACCTTTGAAATATGCATGAGCACATTAAACGTGGCTGCCATGTAAGCAAACAAGCACACTGTGTTGTTCTTCGTTGTGACAGTAAAATTGCCTGGCTCGGGACGGATTGGTGTTGACGTTGGTGTTGGTGTTGGAGTTGGCGTTACAGGGGGCGTTGGCATTGTTTGTCTTCCACACTGTCAGTATAACACCCTACCACACTGTCAGTATAACACCCTTCCACACTGTCAGTATAACACCCTACCACACTGTCAGTATAAATGGGATGGTGTGACAGTCATATTGTGGGATGGTGTGACAGTCATATTGTGGGATGGTGTGACAGTCATATTGTGGGATGGTGTGACAGTCATATTGTGGGATGGTGTGACAGTCATGCTGTGAAGAGAGGTGATAGTCACATTATGAGAAGGTGTAAATGTCATGTGAGAAGGAGTGAAAGTCTTATTTTGCAAAGGTTTGATTGTCATGGTTGCAGTCTTGTTTATCGACATGGAGGATGGGTTAACATGGGCTGTCGATGTTAAGTTTTGCACCATAGAGGAATGATTCTGTGTAGCACTTCCATTTGCTATAACTGCTGGGCTTGAAGCACTCACACTGTTTCCCTTATTATCAACCAAAACAACTAAAAGGAAATGACATAAGGCAAAAATACATAGAGGATATTACATGGTCGCTTGGAGATACAAAATTTCTCTTCGAGTGTTGAAAAACATTTCACGAGTTGCGCTTACTCGTGAAATATTTTTTCAAAACGAGAAGAGAACTTTCGTATCTCCATGGGGCCATGTAATGTTCTATTTACTATGTAAACACCAATGAAATACCAAACCATTTCACTTAAATAGTTTTTTGGTGTGAAAGGCGCCATTAATTATGTAGCCATAGCAACAGCAATCTTTTCACAAGTAAAGATAACATGTTATCTTCACGTGTGAAGATATTATGTTTTCGCGCAAAAGCTCACCTGGTATTTCATTGGTGTTTATATAATAATTACAGTTTAATAGACAAACCAATGCCTTCTTTCATTAAACTTTGAGGGATTTTAAAACAGCACCAGAGTGTCAAAGGACTGAAGGTTGAGGCATTAAATTTTTTTATAATTACACCTCAGTAAGAAGAGGCAAGTAGTAAAGGAGACCCCGTAAATACAGTCACAAATGGGCCAAATTAAGGGGGTAGCCGTATTAACAAGGGTTTTTTTACAGGAAAATGTATGGCAGTTTTTGCCAGGTGGCCAAAAAAAAGTGGACACACTAACAAGGTGACCGTATTACTGAGCAGGGTTGTCAGAAAGTTTTGAAGTAGATGGCTGAGTTTTTAAGGTAAGCGACCAGTCCAGGGATATTTTATTTAAAAAATGCCATCTGCCAATACTAACCAAGTAGGCAGTGATTTTCGCCGGCAGCCGGCTACTTTTGACAACCCCGACTGAGGTGGCCATGAGGCAGGGTTTCACTGTACTCCTTTCAGTAATAGCTGGCTATGAAATCAAGACAATAACTCTTAATGATATTTGAATTCGATGCTGATTTTCTTAGAACAGCGTTTTGATTTGTGCCTTTTGGTACTTATTTTTACTAGATCCAGTCCCACCCAAGTCACCTTACCCCACCCTTTGAAAGGACAGATTGGAGAATGGGTACAAGCAAATTTACCTGCAAATGATGCAACCAACACTTGTACGATATACTTAATGGAGCTATTCCGATACAGTGGAACCCCGCTGTAACGAAGTGCCACGGTGCCGAAAAATTGTTCGTTATAGCAGGGTCTTCGTTATAGCGAAGAACCTGTTATAATGAATTATCTCGTCAACAGCAAAAATATTCATCATAGTGGGGTAATTTCATAAATAACAATTACCAAAAATTCAATACTGCATGTAGAAAACATTTTAATTCATTTGATACTGTAAACTGTAAGTGTAAAACGCTGACAATCAAGACATCAAATTCAAAAACACTTTCAATTAAAGCAAGCTGTGATTTCTACTCAAATCTGTTGTTTTTACTGACTGCTGCGAGCAGCCGAACAAAATATTCCTTATAGGGGGGTAAATTGTGCATTGGGACCATCAGAATCTATTCCTTACAGTGGGGTACATTTCTGCAAAGGATGTGGCAGTGATCGCTATTGACCTATCCAAAGCGTTTGACTCGATTTGCCATAATTTTTTACTAGCAAAACTGAAAGCTTGTGGCGTTCACGATTCAGCTATGAAACTGATTCAGTCATATCTATCAGGCCGCTTTCAACGAGTAAAATGCAACGGGAAGGTGTCAGACTGGCTGCCTCTTCATTGTGGAGCACCGGAAGGGAGCCTTCTAGGTCCGCTTCTTTTTAATATCTTTGTGAATGATGTCAAATACTCAGCTGGATCTTCCTCCCTACGTCTGTATGCTGATGACACAACGCAATATATAGCCCATGAGAGCCCCTGTACACTAGAATCTACACTGAATCAAGATATAGAGAGATTAACCCTCTGGTTCCCTGCGAATTACCTGCAAGTAAACGCTACTAAAACTCAGGCCATGACACTGGGGAAATCTCAGTACCCATATAATCTTAAAAATCGGTGATAAGTCCATCGAAATTGAACCAACTCTCAAGATTCAGGGCGTCACATTGGATCGGGATTTGTCTTTCAAGCCCCACGTGGCAATCATGCTGAAGAAAGCGTATGCTAAGATAGCCGCACTACGTAAAATTAAGCGCCTAGTTCCTTCGGACGTTATGATTTCCCTTTATAAAGCCTACGTGTTATCGCATTTAGAATACTGTTGCCCACTACTTCTGGGCATATCTAAAGTCTTGAAAAATAACATCAAACATACCAATCATTATCCGATCAAGACATTACTGAATTTAGGTAATTCGGCTACCTATGACTTTTGCCTAGAAATGGCTGATATGGACAAGCTTGAGCAAAGACATACCCTGCAATCGCTTATCTTATTTTTTAAATTTTTAAACTAGATGGCCCTAATTATATTTCCAAATTTTTTACCCCTCGGCTAACTAAATGCAATCTACGAGACAGCAGATTAAATGTTGAGCGGCCTCCATATAACAGCCTTGTCATGCACAACTCTTTTTTATACATGATTGCCCACATATGGAATCAATTGCCAACTGTAACTAAATCCTCGACCACTTTAGCGCAATTTCGTACTCGCCTTAATAATGTCAATTTCACAGGGTGCCAATGTATGAACTGTACATAACTTTATCTATTTTAACATTTTTACATACTCTTGGGCTAGTTTATATACATATATAATTATACTGATATAATTATATTTTTTAATATTTTAATCAGTTTATAATGATTAGTCCGTTTTAAACTATTTTTAATGCATGTTCTTAGGTTGTTTTAGTGTTTTTTTTTTTTAAGAAAATAGTTTCTTTGAAAAAAATTTTCCCAAAATTACGATGTTTTTAGGTTTTTCTTAATATTTGTATATATATACCGGTAATTCACTTTTTATCCTGTTTTGTATTTTTTAGTTTGTCGAGCGTTTTTAACATGAGCCTCTGGCTCGGAAGATTGTGTAAACACTTCCCACATCTTCGACATTAAATAAATCATTCATTCATTCATTCATATTTTACTGTAATTCTGACAGGCTTTCAGATGTTTTTCGTTATAACAGGGTCTTCATTATAGCGGGGTTCTTATAGGCCGTATTCACTCACGTGGCCAGCATCTATGCTAATTTATTGGAACAAAAGAAAGTTTTTACATAAGAAAAGAGTTCAATTCCCACAGGGTTGTCTTGGTAGACCAACATGGCTACTGTTTCATTGTTTTGGGACACCAATATGGCCACCGTGACATCATGTGAATATGCTCTTGCGGGGTTTCACTGTATGCACCTATTTCAATTAAGGTTGCTCCAGTGAACCATGTTTCATGACCTGCAGTACACTATGGTAAACCCTTTCATAGTGGGAAGTTCAGTCTTGTTTATGTTCATTGAAATAATGGAGACCATTTGTGAGAAGGTGTTCAAGAGAGCTTTCAACTTAAATGGCTGCAAAAATTCTTAAACATAAGCGAGCTACAGAATTTCATTTTTAAAATCTCACAGTAAGAAATTAGAAGCCTCTTCCTTTAACAACATTAATTGAATAGGGTTTTACTGCCTGATTAAGCTGCGTTTTTGCACAGGCCAGGATGCTAATTATTTCAATAAAGCAAATCAACACTATTCTTTTTTTACTCAGTTTTAAAACAATTGCCTCAAAAATAAACAAACGCATAGTGTTAAGTTATTTATTGTAGTTCAACAAACGCCTTGAATTTGTTTTTTTTTTAACGCCATCCAAAATTCCCACGTGCACGAGCCACGCAAACTTATTGAAAATTTGCAACATTTCCATATTACCACAGAGTAAAATCTAAACTCAAATTGCTGTCCTAAAAAGCCTAGGATTCAGAGTTTTGAAATACATTGTCGTAACGTTCTTATGACATAGCATAGAAGCATTAGTAGTGTTTGCTTTCTAGGTTTCTTGGCTCGTCGCGGGCACGTAATTTACTGGACTTGCTCCCATAATGCACCGCGGGCTATGAAACTTGGACCATGCATCATACATCTTACCTTGAAAATGCATACTTACCTGCGAGGCTTGAGGGAATAATTTATATTGTTTTATTCCCTCAAGCCTCGCAGCTAAGCATGAATTTCAATATATCGAAATTAGTCTACAACAGTGACGGTTTCAGAAAAAAAACCTGCCGCACTTATTTGTATTAAAAGGTAACGAATAAAATCGACAAAATGGAGTCCACTTATCCACTTGGCAAAACAATGTTTCGTGCAAATGAGACAGAAATTGCTCAGTGATTTCACCCTTCTGCAAAACGTTTGGAAGATTTACTGTTCGTTTGATTCTTAATGTACAGAGTTTTCATAAAAGAATCAAGCGTGGACTTTATATTCATGACTAAACTGACAAGGCGGAAATTAAGAATTTACGCGTTTCGCTTTGCAAGTCTTCTGTTAGTTAGCTCAAATGTCATGAAGTTTTAGCAAAGTTACAAGCGCCCGATTAAACGCAAACCTGAAGATCGAGAAACGACACTCATGAAAATGGATTTAAAATAGATACTCTTGAGAGGCGTCGAGTAGCATTCTTCCATTTGCAATCCACTGAAAATGGCGCAAACTCGTCATAATCTAAGATTACACATTGCGAAAGAACAAGCACGTAGTAAGGAAGAAGGCGCTCTCACCTGTAAAAAGCAAACAGATCCCGAGAACTTCGTGAAGTACAGCCATGATGAAAACTGTCTGATAAACGCGAGACGAAGACGAATACTGACAATTCGCAACCCCTTTGCTTGCTCTAACTGCTCTGCACGATTGAAGGGAAGGGAACAGTTCCTGGAAGAGGCGGAAGTATGGGTAGACACGTGACAGGGCGCTTGAGAGGGCCCAGATGGACACGTGTCAGAGCCCAGTCTTTCCCGCGTTCCTATTTTATGGTTTTGGGAGGGTTTTGTACAATTACAAGTACATAC